GACCAATGTTCAATTGCTATAATTTCATTAATTATAACAAAAAACGTAAAGTAAAAATAGAAAAAATAAATGGTATTAAGTCTTTAATGAAAGCAATATTAATAAGTTTCATTTTTAGTATGCTCTCTAAGCCTAAACATCTAGAATAAGATTTTTGAGGCGGTGAACTTCAGGGAATGAATGGTCCAACAAAATTTTACTGCATTTGAAGGCTGTTATAACAATCCAAACGTCATGCACTTGGATGACTTTCACAAACCTCAACACACAGATGATCACAGGTTCACGACAGCTAAATAGAGATTCTAAGAAATTCTCTGAGTAATCACCATTTAGATGTACTTATAGACGAATGCCACTACACATTATGAGATTGATATTAAGAATATACATGATAAAAATTACACAAAATAGAGTAAACTATTTTAAATAACATAAATCAAACCTCTTATTTGCAATTTTGAAAAATACACTCCCACAACGACAGCTTCGTTTTAAGGAAGAGCGGCCAACAAAATTTTCAACATCCACTACTTGACCAATTAAATCTACAAAGAAAAAAAAGTCTCTTTTTATGAAAAGTTTAAATATGAATTGTGATAAAAATGTATTATGGAAACAAATTTAAATATGATCTGTGATAAAAAGGTTTTATGGAAACAAAGTACCTATAGAAATCAAAGTGTCCACCAATCCGGCTTTAATGGTATCAAATTTTATGAAGTTAAAAAGTTTATCTCTACCCTGGAAAATAATTTTCTGAAAGACGGTTGTATCTTTCCAACGGATCTTGAAAGGGTCTGATGTGAATCTGAACACTTCAACCACAGGAAGAAGATCAAAGTTAGCCAAAAGTTAGCCAAAAGTAACACTTTTTGAGAAGTCGTCCACGTAATTATCAGCGAAAGTAGCATGAATCTTACCACCCTATAAAAGACACAAAGTAAGATATGTATAAACTTAAGAATTGGAATATATGGTGTCGAGTTATACTAAAAATATATGTAGCCTAGAAAGTATGGGTCAAAATATTTTACCTTCTCATCTGCCAATATTAGATCAATTGTGTTATCTGTCATGTGCAGGTGGAAAAATTTATGTAAAATCTTAAAACGCACAACCCACTTATGTTTAGAAGGATCAAGATCCGAAACAGAAACCACAAAGTGATTATGTGGTTTCCGATTGTAAGTTGGAAGATCAAATTAAGTTAATTGCTACGACTAAGGGTAATATAAAGAAGATGAATGACGTGAATTATATATTTTAAGGGTAATACATATATATATATATATATTGAACGAGAGAACATTTTCTTTAATAAAAAAGAAAATCTAAGATAATTCCTAAAACTTGAAGAAAATATACACCAAAAAAGTTTAAGATAATTCCTAAAACTTAAAGAATATACACCAAATATATTCTAAAAGAAAATATTAGATAATTCCTAAAACATGAGGAATATACATTAAATATATTCGTGAAGGAATTTATAAGATAATTCATAAAACTTGAAAATATACACCAAATATATTTGTAAACTTTCTGATATGGTCAATTTTTGACATGTCATTTAGTTTTGGCCATCCGCCGAATCTACTCATGGATTTGGTTAATAAAAAAATCTACTATCAATAGCTAGAGTCAAGGGTTTGATGGTTAGTCCGGTGTTTAATTGATCCAACATTCTTATAAATTGATCCAACATTCTTATAAATAATATTTAATATTTTATGATTGTTAAATAGCAAACCTAATTCTTAATAGTTATCATACAACGATTGGTACTTCTAAAGGTAGTATTAATTGGTGTCTTAATAATACACTTGTTTGTTATCATCTATAAAATAACTAAACGATACAATTGTTCAGCAAATAGAGAAAATTATTTAAAAACTCAGAACTTCACAATATACAACCGCCTTTTAGTATCCGATCATCAGGAAAATGTCTCCATGCGAGCGTATTTGTGAACTGGATTTAACATCGAAAAGATCTTGCATATGCATTCAGGTTATTAAAATTATAATCGAAGACATCGGGTTCCAGTGCCTTCTCAAAAAAAAATATTCTGGTCGATGAACATGTAAGTATAAAAAACTAAGAGTATATACTATTTTTCAAAATGATTATCTAAGTTGTTCATATATTTTGATCAAAGGGTGATAGAATTCTAAAGACTATGTCCATTCATTCGTATCATTTAATGAAATACTCAGCATTTCACTTACATGCCCCAGGATTGGTATGTTTCGTATACAAATTGATTATGTTGTTTTAGCCTTGTTTAGTATTTTGATTTAATCACTGATATAAATTTAAATTTGTTAGTTGACTTGATTAGAGGAATTATCAAAATTCGTAAATTGAGTGAGCATGCCGGGACGAAATATAGAAGATCCGGGGTCGATTCAGAGAAATGCATCAAGTTTACTCTCAGAAATTTTGAGTAAGTAACCATATTAAGTTTTACTCTTTTTTTTTTGAAAATCCCAATCTTAATTTATACAATCAGGGAATAATAATTCAATTCAATAAGTAATCATTTGGTTATGATTCTATGAGTGTCGATATCAAATGTGTGGCATTTGGTAAAGATGCTATTGATTTTGAAGTACTCTAGCTAAATATTCATAGGGAAAAAATCGTATTTTTTGTTTTGAGATTTTGAGAAGTGACACCTTATGGAGGTAAATTTTTACTGTGTGAGTTGGTAATGCCAATTTTACAATCTAGTTTTGTTTATTAACAAAACAATTTTACAATCTAGCTTTTTTTTATTAACAAAATACAACGAATTTGTTTCAGATGTATCCTAGTGGTGAATTCTCAGAAATCAAATTTGACTCTCCAATACCAGAAGTCGAAAATGCTCGCTTCATGTAAGAAAAACTATTATTAATGAGTTCATTTTTCTACCTGATTTCTGAAAACGAAAATACCAAATTTTTAAGTTGTTATTTTTCTTCATTTGAATCAGGTTGGACTATACAAACGACTTCAACCACATAGAAGATGAGTACAAGAGATGGTACATGCCATTTTATACAAACCATCGATTAGGATGAACAATATTTTAGCATACTATTTTACAACTTCTATTAATCTATCATATTATTTGTAATGATGATTTCATTTTTTTCTGGTGTTTGGATATTTAATTTGGTGCGAAACCATTTTTGTTTCGTGTAGATTTATTAGTTGGTAATCTAGTATAGTTTTATAAATTATCTAGTCACGATATCATATAATTATTTTCTAAAATTTAATTTATTAGATTAAATATATTATATTTTTAGGCAGTACATTAAACCCAAGATAATAAAAAAATTGTTTATAAGTAATTGCAAAATCGTTTCATAAATAAGGAAAAACTTGAAAATACTATTTCTAACATAAAATACTGTAATTGATTGCAATCACTTTTGTTTTTGTTTCACTTATGTTTATAATTCGTTGTGTTTCACTTTTGTTTCATTTATGTCTTGTTTTTTTTTTTTGGTAGTGCATTTATGTCTTGTTTTTAACCTCATTGTAATATATTTTCATTCATGTTTATCATTCTCGAGTATCTCTTCCAAATAAATAAAAATAAATATATGCTCTTTAGGATCAAAATACACAATTGCAAGTACTCTTTTGATCGATTAAATACGCACATAATTATTCTCTCGATCCTTAATACACATTTCTAGCAAGTTGGTAGTATTTTGGTTGTGAAATAGTACAACAGAAATTTCGAATGGTTAGAATAAATTTAGTTAAAGTTAAATTATTACAAAACAATCAATTATAGTATTGCTGAAAATATTTTTTTCTTTCAGGTATATTTATTGTGAAATTGTCAATTTTAAAAATATAAAATATTCGTGATATATACATATTAAATTAATAATGAAAAATTTGAAAAAATACTTTTATTATTATCCATTTCTTTTATGTGAATGTAATGTGAATTTGATATATATATATATATATATCAGATATTCTAACATATCAGAGTATTTCGATCAAATTCTTGAACTTAATCTGATGTTTGGGATATAGATTTCCAGATCCAAATGTTTTGGCGTTGATTAGAATGGATCTTGAATTTCTAATAATAATTCCATCCGTAACTACAATTAACATAATTAGAGGTCCTCGTGTCCAACATTGAGAAATGATTATTTGAATATTAGTTAGTAAGCTGTTAAAAGAGAAATTTATACAAACTTACATTATTAACTAGCATTTTTAAAGGATTATTGGTAATTTTTTTTGTACTTTCGTATAATATGAATTCTTTCTTATTCCGATTAATTTTGCATGTGGAGTCCTACACCCCCGCAGTTAAATTGAATGGTGGAGAGGCCTAAAAACCTAAAATCATTATACTGTTTTCTTTGCACTCGTTCATATTATTATGCTCCTTCAAAGTAATGAATCGGATACCGGTTAATATTCCAGACTCTGGACTAGGAAAAAGAATATAAGCAGTGCATGCATCTCACTCTAAACACTAATCAAAAGTTCTTTATATTTAAATGAGTTTATATTCATCTTATAAAGAAGAAGAAGAATAACAAAGTGAGAAGATGAGATATGGCGTGACCACATATATAGAATGAAAAATTCAAAACAATGATTACAACAGAAAAGGGAATAGCACTAATTAACGATACACAAATAAATAATTTTACCAAAAAAAAAAGATACACAAATAAATATTGTACCCAATGGTTTATGATTACTACGAAATATTTAAAGACAAGAAAAACTAGTTGGAATGGCTTATAAGTTTCAATTTCTGGAATTCTTAAAATACATATTCGGAGTTGTGATTATTTTGAATGACTTTTTAATCTGCCGCCGGAATTTGTTAGTGGCCTCAATAAATCCCATGACATTTTTTTAAAAAAAAAAGTTTTTTGTTTGTCCCACATCGACAAAGTTGGATAATTGAGAAGGGGAAGCAGCACTATAAATAAGAGTCTTCCTCTCCTTGGAAAATAAGTTTCAACAGTCTGCTACATTGTGGTCCTTCAATTGCGATCCACTCCAATTGGGCCTGTTTATGGATCCCAATAATTTTAAAAGTCTCCGACTTTTCATTAATCACCGATTATCTTAGTAAATCGGTTTAAGGCGATAGATACCGTTCCTCAGCCTAAGCTGACCGAGAAGCCGCGTGATTTTAAACACAGGCGAGATCCACTCCAGTTGGGCCTAAAATTGGACTCTTTTTTTTTTGTAATAAGTTTCCGAACTTATTTTTTTTAATAAGCCGACTTATTTTTTTGTAATAAGTCGGTCTCCGATTTCAGGAGAAAAACAAAGAAGTTTCCATGGACGAGAAGCCTCCTTCGCATGACATTTCAGCTTCTGAGGTTAATGGAGTTGATTCTCTCAAAGTCGAGGAAAAGAGAGAAGAGGAGAATACACAGGCGGTAGAGATCAAGTTAGGGCAGAACTTAGAGTCTGAAAAGGAAAAGCTTGATGTGATGGAGGAGGAAACTACTGCTCAGGCTGCATCCCTGGAAGATATAGTTAGTGTTGACCAAAAGATTCCCAATGAAAAAGAGGTAGCTCGCGTTGCTGGTTTTCCAGAAATTCCCTCTCAAGATGAAAAGCCATTGGAAGAGTTGCAAATGGTTCAAGGAGCTAAAGACATTTCAGATGAATTTGCAAAAGAAGACGTAGGTTTGATAGTAGATGCTATGGGTAATCAGGTATTGAAGGAAACAGAGGAGGAAGAAGAAAAGCCTGGTGTTGTTACTGTATTGGAGATCCAAGCTAAGCTTCAAGAGGTGGATGATGTGGTTAATGAGGTTTCAGAAAAAAACGAGGCTTCGGTGAGTGAATCATCTGCTGGTAAAGAAACTGTTATGGATGATGTCATAGAAGACGTTGAGAATGACCCAGAAGCTGGAAATTCAGTGGACATACATGTACCAGAGGCTACAGAAGAAGTAGAAACAGATGTTAAGTGTGCTGCTTGTATAGAGGAAGAAGGCGATGGTATAGATGGTGTAAGAGACATAGGGCAGACAATTGATTTGGAGGAAACCCGAGAAGTATCTGAGGAACTTGCTAAAGCAGACGAAACAAAGATTGCTGAAGTGTCTAAAGAAACGGAGACAATGATTGAAGAAGAGAATGAGGAGAAAAATGATGACATGACAGATTTGGCCGAGGATGTTGAAACCCATAAAGACTCCTCATCAACTCTTATTGAAGAAGGAAGAGACGATCATGAAGAGATGGGAAAAAAAGAAATGATAGAGACACAAGAGGAGGCTGTTGTGGGTAAAGTAGACGGAGCAAAAGTAGCTGAAATGTCAGAAGAAACAGAGACAAGGATGGAAGATGAAGATGAAGAGAAAGATGAAGACATAAATGATGTGGAAACGCATGGAGGCTCCTCAGCAACTGATATTGAGGAGGGGAGTGAAAATAATGATGAGGTAGAAATGACAGACACACAAGAGAAGAGTGTTATGGGTGAGACGGGGGATGAAGAGCCAGAGGAAGTTGAGGAAGAAAATAAGAGTGCTAAAGGAAAGAGGAAGAGGGTGAGAAATACAAAGACAGTGAAAGGCACAGGAAAGAAGAAAGAAGAAGATGTTTGCTTTATGTGCTTTGATGGGGGTGACCTTGTCCTTTGTGACCGCAGGTGAACTCTCCTTTTTAGTTTTTGTGACTTTACTGCTGGTCTTTATCCTACTCTCTTCCGGACCCTTGTATAGTTGTTGTTTTTAAATGTATGATACTCTTGGCTTGCAGGGGATGCCCAAAAGCCTACCACCCTTCTTGTGTAGATCGAGATGAAGCTTTCTTCCGTTCAAAGGGAAAATGGAACTGTGGTAAGTTTTTTTTTTCTGTCATTCATTCGTTAGGTTTCTGTTTAAATTAAATCAATGAGTGTGGAAAAACATGATACATTTAGTAAATGGTTCAGTATTATTTTTTGGCACATATGGTGATCAATTTCACACGAGAGCCCATACAACATTGTATATATTCTTAGTATACCACTGTCCCTCATGCTTTAGAACACATCATATAAACTTTCAAGATAGTACACTATGTGAAGGATCATTTTCCAAAGCTTTATAAAATGGAATTATTTGGTAGTCTGCCTCATTTTTTATATATATTTAAAACGAGTCTTTTGCTTCAGTTATGCTCTAATTTTCAGTCTCGGTGCATGGTCATACTTTTTAATCTGTGTCTATTTTCCATTTTCTTTCTAATAGAACCTAATAGAATGTTTTATCTTCATGAATAGGATGGCACCTGTGTAGCAAATGCGAGAAAACTGCGACATACTTGTGTTATACATGTATGTTTTCATTATGCAAAGGCTGCGCCAAGGATGCTGTCTTCTTTTGCATACGAGGAAATAAGGGTTTGTGTGAGACATGCATGGAGACAGTCAAGTTGATAGAAAAAAAGGAGCAGGAAAAGGAACCGGTATGCCTAACTTACTCTTGTAGTTTGTTGCTTATTGAACTTTTCTTCTTTTCTTGCAATGAGCTGGTAAACTGATCATGTTCTTGTACCCTATGATCTTAATTTTTCCTATTTCTCTCATAAAAAGTTTGATGATTAGTCTTCTGTTTACCCCTAAACCATTGATGCATTTCATTTCTTTCTTCTTACTTTGTAATGTCACTAATATATTATGATTTTGGTTAATGTCCCACACTGAATAGTTGATTTTCATTTATGCCTTAGTTTACACTTGCTATTTGAATGGCATCTTCTATTACTGATATCTCTCCATTTCCTCGTTTTGTTTCTTACAGGCGCAGTTGGATTTTGATGACAAGACCAGCTGGGAATATCTCTTTAAGGATTACTGGCTTGATTTGAAATCCCAACTATCTTTAAGTCCAGAGGAACTTGATCAGGCTAAGAGCCCACAGAAAGGAAATGAGTCACATTCTGGTAAACAAGGAATAACCAGGGAGACTGATTACGTTACTGATGGAGGATCAAATTCAGATAGCTCTCCAAAAAAGAGGAAGACCAGAAGTCGATCAAAGTCTAGTTCTGCTGAGAAAATCCTGTCACCAGCTAATAAAAGCTCGTCAGGTGAAACTATGGAGTGGGCTTCCAAGGAACTTTTGGATGTAGTCGCACACATGAGACGTGGTGACAGATCTTTCTTACCTCATTCAGAAGTACATGCGCTCCTGCTGGATTATATAAAAAGATACAATCTTCGTGATCCCCGTCGTAAAAGCCAAGTTATTTGCGACTCCAGGCTTCAGAATTTGTTTGGAAAATCTCATGTTGGGCACTTTGAGATGTTAAATCTCCTTGATACCCATTTCCTGGACAAGGAGCAACAGCAAGTAGATGATATTCAAGGTAGCATTGATGATACAGAACCTGATTATGTGGATGTTGATGAAAACTTCGACCATCCTGTGAAAAGTGGCAAGGAGAAGAAACGTAAAACACGTAAAAAAAGTGTCAGGAAAGGGTGTCAATCTAATCTTGATGATTTTGCTGCTATTGATATGCACAACATTAATTTAATATACCTAAGGCGGAGCTTGGTGGAAGATCTACTTGGAGATTCTACAACATTCGAAGAAAAAGTAGCTAGTGCATTTGTTAGGTTAAAGATACCTGGAGTTCAAAAGCAAGATTTATATCGACTGGTTCAAGTTATTGGTATGTTTAGTGTCCAATTTTAGAGATTATTTTAATATTTTTTAATTCAAAAGTTGACTTAAGTTCTATTTGGTCTGAAACACAGGTACACCCAAAGCTCCTGAGCCCTATAAAGTTGGGAAGAAAACAACCGATTTCGAACTTGAGATATTGAACTTGGACAAAAAAGAAGTGATATCCATTGACGTTATATCAAATCAAGATTTCACTGAGGTGACACACTCCTGCTGATATTCATCATCAATTTCCTTTCATTCAACATGTTCTGATTTTTTACCCTACATAACAAATTCTGTTGCACTTCCATATGTTGACAAGCCAAGGAGGCAGTGGTTACTGTTTTCACTATTTTCTGAGCAACCTTCTTCTGACTAGTGAGCAGTATTTGTTCAAGAATGCTATATGTGTAACCTTTAACTTTCATGCAATAATTTCAGGATGAATGCATGCGTCTAAAGCAGAGCATAAAATGTGGATTAATCAACAGGCTGACAGTGGTATGCTTCATAATAATGGATGTCTTCATTTGATTGTGTCTAAAATTTTTGTCGAGCATGGTGCTTTTACTATTTAGGTTTTTTTAATGTCAATTTGTTTTTAGGGTGATATACAAGAAAAGGCCATAGCGCTGCAGGAAGTGAGAGTAAAAAACGTAAGTTGTTTTATCCCGTTGATGCTATTTCATGTCTCTCATCCTCCATCATGTCTCTTAGGTTTCGGCTTTCGGGATTTTGGCTTTCTTAATAAAGCTAAGCGATCATGCTAACATTGGAAAAATTTAACAAAATATGTACATATGATGCTTCAGTTTTCAAATTTGTTCCGTTATGAATGCAGTTGCTGGAAGCAGAGATCCTACGTTTCAGTCATTTGCGTGATAGGGCTAGTGACATGGGCCGCAGAAAAGAATATCCTTATCGGTTGAAACTTTCGAGTTCTTCGTAAAAATGATGATTGACTAGTATGCTCTTGAAATGCTTCTTGGTGTGTATGTTTTTATACTGCTCTTGAAATGTTTCTCTGTGTGTATGTTTCTATACTTCGGGCCTTCGGGGAAAGAACATCTGATCTGTCATTTGTAGTGGAAAGCATATAATTTCATTTTCTTAATTCATTTACGTAAGTATTCCTTGACCTATGGTTACGCTGCGAGAATGTATCGAGAAACTGCAAAAGCTGAAGTCTCCAGAGGAACGGCAACGCAGGCTAGAAGAAATTCCAGGAATACATGTTGATCCCAAAATGGATCCAGATTGTGAGTCCGAAGATGAAGATGAAAAAGAAGAAAAAGAAAAAGGTTTTCGTTAATAAATCAAGTTTTTCTTTTCAACTAAACAAAACTCTGAAGTTTTTTTTGTATCTATTGTTGTTCTAACATCTTCCATCTTTGGCTGTTCTAATGCATGTAGAGAAAAATATGAGGCCGCGAAGTAGTAGCTTCAACAGAAGAGGAAGAGACCCGATATCTCCACGAAGGGGAGGATTTAGGTCCAATGAATCATGGACTAGCACAAGTAACTTCTCAAACAATCGGGAACTAAGCAGAAGTTATTCGGGTAGAGGCTCTACTGGCAGAGGAGATTATCTTGGTAGTTTTGAAGAAAATGTTAGTGAAAATATGTGGACTTCAGGTAGAGAAAGAGAAAGAGAAATGCCACAATCTCTAGGCTCTGAGAAGCCGAGATCTGTTTCTACTCCTGAACCTGCTCCTAGAAGTTCTCGTGCTATTGTGCAACCAGAATTGTCTCCTCGGATTGTCCCTGAAATTTTAACGGCACCTCCTGTTGTTGTTCCGCAGCCTGCTCCCATGTCAAATGAGTCAGAGAAAATGTGGCATTACAAGGACCCATCTGGTAAAGTTCAAGGACCTTTCTCCATGGCGCAACTCCGTAAATGGAACAACACTGGCTATTTCCCTGCTAAGTTGGAAATCTGGAAAGCAACGGAGTCACCATTGGACTCTATTCTCCTAACTGATGCATTGGCTGGATTGTTTCAGAAGCAAACCCTGCCGGTGGATAATAGCTATGTGAAATCTCAGGTTACAGCTTATTCTGGTCAACCAAGCCAAACTGCTCCATCAATCCTTGATATTCCCAGGAATTCCCAGGATACTTGGAGTTCAAGTGGTAGCCTTCCATCGCCTACTCCAAATCAAATCACAACTCCAACTGCGAAAAGGCAAAATTTTGAGAGCAGGTGGTCTCCAACCAAGCCATCTGCACAGTCAGCTGTTGAGTCGATAAATATGTCTTTAGCACAATCTGGCCCGAGTCAAGCTTCTAGGACAGATATTCCTGTGGTAGTAAACTCTGCTGGTGCACTGCAGCCTAGTACACACCTTATTCATGGGACAGATATAACTAACCCTTCTTCTGTTAATCACTACGGTTCTGCTCCCACTCTTCCATCTCCAACACCAGCAGGCGGAAAGCAAAGCTGGAGTAACATATCGACAGATAAATTTGATTCTCATGGTTGTGGAGGAAGTGAGGGTCCCTCTTCTTCTGCGTCTTATGTCACCGCAACTCCAAGTATTCTTCCCTCGCAAAGTCAACAAGGATATCCCCAATCTGATCTATGGAGGATTCGAATTCCAAGCCAACCGAATACTCAGTCTCAGGCACCAACTAATAACGGATCATGGGGTATGAACAACAGCCAAAATGCAGGACAACCTCAAGCTCCTCCAGCAAATCAAAATACCGGCTGGGGTCAAGGGACTGCAAATCCAAACATGGGATGGACTGGTCCTGTTCAAGCTGGAATGAACGTTAACTGGGCTGCACCTTCTATTCCGCCAACTGGTCAGGGAATGCCTAACCCTGGCTGGGGCGGGCCTGTCCAAGGACAACCACAACCACAAGCTTATTCAAACACTGGGTGGGGCCAAGCTCAAGTTCAAGCTCCAGGGCGCGCTACAGGCTCGGGATGGATGCAAACAGGTCAAGGGATGCAGTCTGGGAACAGTAATCAAAACTGGGGAACTCAAAATCAGACAGCAATTCCAAGCTGGGGAAGCCAACATAACCAGAATAGAGATTCTGCTGGGTATGGTTGGAACAAGCAGTCAAGTGGGCAAAATAACTTCAAAGGGCAAAGAGTATGCAAGTTCTATCAAGAAAATGGGCATTGTAGGAAAGGAGCATCCTGCAATTACCTTCACAACTAAATTAGTTTCTTTCTCTCTCTCCCTCTCTCTTACTGCTTTTGGATGATCTCTGCATCCTAAAAAAACAGCTTTAGTCGTTTGAGCCAACTTGGTTTTATGCACAATAATCTTTTGTTTAGAGCCTCTCACTCAGAATTAGCTAACATGTTTTCTTTATTTTGGGTGGGTGGGGCTTAGGTCTTTAGTATTAAAATGTCGTGGTGAGAAGGATAAATACTCTTACATATAATATTTGCTAGGCCAACTATATATGTTTGCATCTTGAAACTTTCTTTTAATATTTGAGTCTCTTCGAGAAAGCGAAGCATGGTTTTCAGCTAACCAAGTTACATATCCTGTTGAACCTCTAATGGAAGATATTGACCATGTAATTATTGATCCACCGGTTTTCAAATGTAAAATAGATGGATCTTGGAAAGGAGATAATCTCACAAACAGGGTCGGTTGGATTCTACAGCTTCAAGATGGCTCCATAGACCTCCTAGGTCTCCAAGGGACTCGTTGAGGCCATATTGGACCCGGTCCAATACCGATCCTAATTTAGCCCGGAAGACTGTATCTACAAAAAAGCAATAGATGCCACATGTTAACACGTGATTCGTTTACGTAGAAATAATTGAATTTATCTCCAACAAAAGTTATAAAATATAATATTAAACACAAAAAGAAACAAAAGTATACTATTATTTTTTAATATAATAGTTCTTGCATTTTTACATACAAACTCGTTCATCAAACATATATAGTCAAATTTTATTTGTTTCTGTCGACAACATCGACAATCCATTCACTATTTTCGATGACATAATCGACCGTAAATAAGATTTTGTTTTAGAAAGCAAAAAAACTTAACATAATTTTTTTATGTATATTTAATAGATTCTGATTTTTAAAAATATGCCCAAAGCCGGGATAACAATAAGCACTCCTATTAAGTATCTCGCCTGTGTTAATTAGAACCTTAGATATCATTAGACACATAGGTTAAATGCCTAAATCATATGGGCCTATGCTTTCAAAAAGTTAAAATATTAAAATATGTTTTTGACACTTTTGTTCATTTAAATTAAAAAAAATCCAAATTACTTTTTCAAAAGCATTTTATTGAATTTAAAGTCTGAAATCATAGATTATGTATAGATACAAAAACATCAAACTAAAATCATAAATTCAGTAGAGATGATTTAATATATTTGAATAACCATTTCTCTCACCTTATAGCCGTCCATGTTCATAGTTTTTTGTTTTAATATTTTTTTCTGTAACTTTTGTTAAGTTAGATGGTAGATTGATATTAATCATGAAGACTTTATAGCACCACTTAAACACATATTGGAGTTGGAGAGCATTAATGGAGGAAGACTGAATTACGTACGTATAATTTTATTTATCAATTTGAAATATATAGTATATAAATTATGTGTATGTAATGTTAGAAGCTAAAACAAATATCAGTTCCAACTAATTTGGAGGATGAATAATTCACTTATTAATATACTAAGTTAGAGTACCGATACAGATATTGCGATAGATATTCTAACGATCTAGTCAATAAATTAAAGAAATCACAGATTTAGAATCTGATAGACAACTCGACCATTGGAGAGGTAAACTTGACTCAAATTTGTCAATAATTCGGGTTTTTCTATTGGTTTTTGGTTGCAGAGAATATATTTTATGAAGTCATTACATGGTTACGATAGATTTTCGGAGAACAAAATAGATAATGTCCTCCTCAAGACTAACTGGTACTAAAATTAGAATAGAATAATGTTTCAGAAATATGTTTAATTTAACTTTTAAATCCACACAAAAAAATATGGGTGACATTATAAAGTTGAGGAAAAAATAATTGACGTGCACAATAATACTACAATAAAACCTTTATAAATTAATAATGTTGGGATTGTAATATTTTATTAATTTATAGAATTATTAATTTATTAATATAAAAATCAATTCAAAAATTTAATTTAGGACTTTAAAAATATATTAATTTATTGAGGTATTAATTTATCGAATATTAATTTATAAAATTTATATTGTATAACTATAAAATAACAAATAAAAAAAATGAATAGGAAAAGCATATATATTTTTTTTGGAACTTTAAGAAAAAAACATATGTTTACCTCAAACCAAGGAAGAAAGATGCATGTGTTAGGTTTAAGGCCTTAAGGAGACATTGAGCTGTTTATGTTTTGGTGTGATCTTTCCGACTCTTATCACATCAAAGAGCAAATATAAAGCGTCAAGTGAATAAGAACATCAATTAAAAGTTGTTCATATAACATTGGTTTGTCTTTTATTGGTACATACACTTTTTTTTCTCCATGTGTTGAACCCACTATCTTACATTTATAAGGCAAAATGATGTTTCATATCATTATCTTCTCTCGATTTGATAGCATTCATGTTACTCTACTGAGTCTACTTCAACTAGAATATCGGTTTGAGGTAGGGATGTTCAATTCTACATCCTTACTTCA